TTCTACTCTCCATCCACCACCCTCTACCAAATAACTCCTAGTCGTTTTTTAACTTATTCTTCCATTCCTTTCTCCATATCTCATATATCAAATATAAGTTATTTTATTGCACATTGTGCTGTATGTCTAAGCTATTGTTTTTCTGCTTATATTTCACCTTGTGATGTGTGCATTACTCATAATGCTTGTGTGAATACTGCTTGAACATACTTTTCACTGTTTCAAAGCAGATATTTTCATAAATAAGTCATTGTCTATTATTACTGTTGGAATTTTGGTTTCAATGCTAAAATTTTGTGATTATTATAGAATGATATAATTTATATCTATGTTTTACAAGGCAATGTCTAGAAAATTAGACTGTGTTTCAGGAGTCTCTAGGTCTGCAGGCTAACTCCCAATCTCCCTTTATAGTCTGAGATTAGTAAGTAATGCAGCTCCATGTAAGCCATTAAACCCACAATGGTAATTATGCACACGTAGTCTATCCTGGACCAACATTTTAAAAGTGAAGCAATCACCATGGAAACCAATGGAATGTTGCTACTTATTGTTCCACATTTAGCACTCTGTCCCTGAATTGCTCATTATGAATAACCCTCACTGTCATAACTGGGAAATTAATCTACTCCAATTAAAATAAACTATAATTTAGCCTGGAGATCTAAGAGACGTGCTGCCCACTTAAAAGAGCTGCACATACAAAGACGTAAACCAGCTCCAGGACAGACTGACCACTGACACTCCTGTTGTGGTGGACTACACTTCTCATGATCCTCAGCCAGGATGGCTGAGCATCCTTAGTAATGCAATCCAAAATATCTAGATATGTTAAAACGGCAATGGCTAGCCATCAATGCAGTATAGATTGTACACAAACAAAGAAAAATCCACCTAAACAGTTGCACATGCTGAAAGGGTTATGCTAGACTTACTTCTTAATTCAAATAATGAATAAAAAAAAAAATCAAAGTTGAATGCTTTGTGTTCCATGCAGCCTTGGGGAAATCACTGTATTTATTTATATATATATATCCCTCTAGAAAAAGATAAAATATTTTAAATCACATGTGACTAATATGCCATAAATGAGTAAAGCTATGTGTGCAGTGTGTCCCCGAGAGGAAGGGGTTAATGACTAGTGATGGATCCCCTTGGCGATACTGGCTAGCCCTGCCTGACACGTGAGGCAGTGAGCAGGCAGCCTGCAGAGCTGAGAGGGATGCAGGGCACAGGTGTGTGCGCTGGTACCCAGCCTGTGCCCTCTCAAAGCTGCTAGCGGTGCCTCCTGGAAGCAGGGCTGCTGGATGCCCCTGGCACAGACCCGCCTGGCTCCCATACCGCTGGATGGCGCCCCGGACAGCCTCCTTTCTCGGCTGACACTGTTTTTATAAGGAGATGGAGATCACTATCTGAGACCCTGAGAGAGAGACGGGGGGACTTGGAAAAGATGCCTGGATGAAGCCCTGTGAGCCCAATGGTCAGCATTCCTCTGGGAATGAATTTACAGCCTGACAGCATCTCCCTAGCTGGACCAGGACACCGGGTGAGTGTCCCTAAATCTTCTACTGACCCTTATACTATGGGCTCCACATGGTGTGGCTAGCACATGGGACGGGTACACTATGGGACCGCTTGGGAGAGGTATGCTATGAGACTTCATGGGACGGGTACATTATGGACCACTAGGGAGAGGCATACTATGGGACCACACGGGATGGAATTACTATGGGACCACATGGGAGAGGTATACTATGGGACTATACGGGATGGAATTACTATGGGACCACATGGGAGAGGTATAATATGGGACCACACGGGATGGAATTACTATGGGATCACATGGGAGAGGTATACTATGGGACCACATGGGAGAGGTATACTATGGGACTATACGGGATGGAATTACTATGGGACCACATGGGAGAGGTATAATATGGGTTGGAATTACTATGGGATGGAATTACCAAATGGGATGGGTGTACTATGGGACCAGATGGGATAGAATTACTATGGGACCAATTCTGTATATGGGATATGTACACTATGGGACCACATGGGATATGTACACTATGGTACCACATGGGATGGGATGTGTACACAATTGGACTACATGGTATGGGTATACTACTGGACCACACTG